TGTTACTAGTAGCGATGCACTTGTTCCTAGTAGCTTCTTGTTTCTACCAGCTTCTTGTTACTATTAGTAAGGCACTTGTTACTAGTAGCGATGCACTTGTTCCTAGTATATAGCTTCTTGTTTCTACCAGCTTCTTGTTACTATTAGTAAGGCACTTGTTACTAGTAGCGATGCACTTGTTCCTAGTATATAGCTTCTTGTTTCTACTGCTTCTTGTTACTATTAGTAAGGCACTTGTTACTAGTAGCGATGCACTTCTTCCTAGTAGCTTCTTGTTTCTACTAGCTTCTTGTTACTATCAGGTAAGGCACTTGTTACTAGTAGCGATGCACTTGTTCCTAGTAGCTTCTGGTTTCTACTAGCTTCTTGTTACTATTAGTAAGGCACTTGTTACTAGTAGCGATGCACTTGTTCCTAGTAGCTTCTTGTTTCTAGTAGCTTCTTGTTTCTACTAGCTTCTTCTTACTATTAGTAAGGCACTTGTTACTAGTAGCGATGCACTTGTTCCTAGTGGCTTCTTGTTTCTACTATGGAAGAGTCAGTTTGCTCAGATTTTTACTGTTTCTTCCCTTGGAGGAGTAGCCTTCTTTGCCTGAAAAGGCTCTGTTCTGTGAGGTGTTTTCTTTTTGGGATCCGTGGAGTGTTTGACCAGCAGAGAAGACTGTGGATGCTCGTAGACTCCAAAGTGCGATACTGTTCAGTTTCAAGTTTCTTTTGCACATGTTTGTCTATTCAGAAGAACCTCTTGGACTCTAAGCACCTCATGGCATACAGTATAAGCATGCAGGTTTTCACACTGTCCCCCCCCTCCATTTGGTCTTCGGACCTCCTCTCGACACCAGGCATGGCTGGCGCATGCGAAGGCACGGACAGGGATGGGGAAATGTGAACCTTTCAGTTGGTTGATCTCTCCGAGATGAGAAGTTCATGCTTTCTACTGAGTCTACTGATGTTGAATCGTTTTTCTCATCAGCTTGTCATGTTTTTCCTTTGAATTACGGTGGCAACACGTGGCATCGATACTAGATCGATCCCCCGAGGGATAATGATGCGCGCGCGGAACTGCTTCTGAAGGGGCTGGAGGAACTGCTCACTCCACTGATAAACAGGGGTAAACTTGGTATACCTTTGTTGAATTTTGTTGATCATCCCATGAACAACGCCATATTCTAAAAGGATCTTAAAGGGGAGCTTACAGATTCTAAAATGAGTTCTGTGTGGGGGGGGAACCCAGAATAACCATAATGTAATATATAATTCTCATGTTTGGATGAAAAAAAATAGATCTCCGCAATGCAGGAGTTCCCAACTATGGTGATTGGCAGGTTCTCATTTCTTTCCTTCCACTCACCTTCTTGTTTTTCCGAAGCACTTCAACTTGGAACTTCTGGGTGAGACCTTAGTGACTTAGTGAGAAGTGGAACGGAACCTGGAGAAATTCATGAGACTATGCTTAAAAAAGGCGATTCGTTGGCAGGTCCTTTTCCAATTATTCTTGTACGCCGAACCGCGGAACGTCTCGTGTCGGTCTTCCTCTTCGCCGCCACTTGGTGTTCTTCGCTCGAGAGGCTGTGAAGCTCCCGCAGGAACAGCTTCAGCCCAAGGAGGAACCGACCGAGAACCGACGAGAACGCTCCGTCCTCGGGTTCTCTCGGGTTCCTCGGGGGGGGGTTCCTGAGCATCATCACGACGAGGTGGGAAGTCTGAACTTTGTGATTTGGGGTGGGCTTTTTGGTCTAGAACTCATAGGGATGTGGTGAAAAACCATGGACAAAAACCCATGTTTAAAAAGCAGCTTGTAAGGGTGAACATGCCGCTGGGTTTAGCATGTCCTTCTTCCCGAGCTAGCACCCAGCTGGGTCAAGCTGGGCTCACGGCTCATGCCACTAAGTGGTTGAAGAAACCTAGACCTGGCGGAAGGGCTGGTGAGTTTAGGTGTTGGTGGAAGAGCACCTGGCTCGAACCACCTGCTATAGATGTATTTGTTTTTATATCCTGTATTATCCTGTGGAATCGCATCCATGAGGTAGGGTATGCTACGATAGGGTAGTAGGTTGGCGGTTTGAACGATTCCTGTGGCCCTCCTTGGCGAGTGCAGCGAGTCGGGTGCTGAGTGCAGCGAGTCGGGTGCGGTGATCCATGAGATTCCATGAGTCAGTCAGGGTCAATGCTTGGTTGCTGGGACAAGATGGGACAATGAGAAGAAAGTCAGCGAATCCATGCAGTGCGATGCAGCTCTCAGACCCATTCATTCTGCTGGCAGTGCCAGGAGAGGCTGCTCGAGCTCCGTACTCAACAGGAGCGCGTATGTCGGAAGTCAGTCACAGCTCAGCTCGTTCTTTGGTTGGAAGACCCAAGAACCCACTGGAGTGGGTTCCAAAACGTGTTGGTGTTGGAAGTACTCGTGATCATGGTCTCGAAACCAAACGAGTCGAGCAATCTGGATGCCATCTTTTGCGAAGCCCAGTAGTGGGTTGAATTGAAGCTGGAGTTGACATGGGTAGGTTGGTTCCCCTAACTTGCGGCGTCCTCTCCTAGAGCTGCAACCATCAGGAGTCCAGGGAGGAAAAGCAGGCCAAGCAGCAGGCTGAGGCCATGAGCTGGGAGAAGAGATTGGAACCAGAAAGCCTTGATCTGGACTCCTCGATATCTTAAGAGTGATTTCTTGGAGCTTTCCCTTCAGAGCTTGTGCCAAGAAAGCTTTTGAAGCAATTTTGACGTGGCACTACTCCAGACTGAGGCGACGGTGGTCGGTCAAGAAGTCCTTGGATCAGCCTCTGGAACACCCAGGTTGCTTTCAGATCCTTGATATACATGCCATACATGGCATTCTAAGGCATCGTGTCATCCTAAGGCATCGCATACTCGATCTCCGCATCTCCAACATCTTCCGCTGTGGGGATGTTTGATCAACCTTTGGGGCACAACCAGTCGTGTTCAGCACGTTCTAGCAATTGTTCTTCCAATTGATTTTGCCTCAATTCTCGTAGAACTAAGACAACCAGCTTCACGCTTCACAAACTTCATGCACGAACTTCATACACCCACTCTCGCGGCCAGCCACTTCATTCACAGATCTTTATCCAGCTGTGAGGGTTCTGAATGTCCGACCCGGTCCCCAACACACTTCTTCTCAAGCGATCCATGCATGTTTTGGTCCGGCGCTTTTATATCTCCCAGGTAAGCAGCATCTTGGGTAGACCCTTTCATCCCCAAAGGGAGGCAGGGCAAAGTCAGAGGTGCCGGCCTATCTCACTAAGCACTCCTCTGTCGGGTTCCATCAGGTCTTTGACCGCTGTATCCACCAGGTCTTTGCTAGTAGTAAGAATGCTCTGTTCGTAGCGATGCCCTTTGCTAGTGGGTTTTGAGAAACGCATGGTTTCCGCCCGGAAAGCTCCGGGCAGAGACGCGTGCCACGCTTCTGCCTGGTTTCCTTTTGTCTCGCTGTCTCAGGCAGAGGAGCGGAAACGAGCTCGGGAGGTGGTGAGCTCAGTCCGCTTGGAATGTGAACACCCTGTTTTCATTGATCCCGTGGTCAAGTGTTCAATTGATGGTTTGGCATGTGAGCTCAGCTTGGAATGTGTTTTCAATGACCCAAAGGGATCCCATTGTCAAATGAAGTCAAATGAAGAGTCATCGGTCATCATTGAAGATTACATTGATCTTCTCACACATCAGGGGAACAGCATGGAACAGAAGTGAGACATGTGACATGCCGAAGTGCGTCGAGACCTCGCCCGACATGGTTTTCGAAACCTGTATTCCAAACAGGAATCTGGGAATCTGTTCATTTGGACTCGGGGTCTTCTTCGGGTCCGTTTGTGTCCGTTGATGTCCGATCCACAGCCACATCTCACCAGCTTGTCTCGTTCTCCCCGATCCCTTCTTCTTTAGGTGAGGCACGAGGTGGAGAACCTTGAGGCACGGCCGCTTTTGCGCTGGCACGGTTTGCACTTCGGTTTTGGCGCGGGATGGGAGACACCCAACCTCCGGACTCGGCACCCAACATCCGCTGGTAGTCCCGCTGGTGTGGTGAATGGACTTGATGACACTTGATGGTTTTTCAGTCTGCCAGCAGGCCCCTAACATTTGGCTACACTTGCTGGAAATGACCGTTCCGTCAGCAGTGAGGAAGCCACTGAAACCATACCGTGAACTGCCATAAACTGCCTTGCCACTAATCTATTTCCATTAATTAAACTCCTCACTTGTGTCGCTGCTGCCCCTGGAGGCACTCCAAGCTTCGGCTTCGGCCAAGCTGCGCCGCAAGAGGCCGCGAGCTGCACCGCACGTGTGCTGATCGACGATGTGCGACTGACGGGCGTTGGATGGTCGCTCCAGTTGCTTGGGGTCAGGGCATCATCAACTCATTGGGTGTTTCATCAACTCAGATGGCTTGCTGCACCCTGTACCATGCACCAGTCGGCATCGGTCGCACGGCATCGGCGACCGAGCGAAAGCAACGGAGTGGGATGAGATGTCCTTTTGCGCTGTCGACAACGTCTGACCACCATTTTGGACCTATTTGGACCTTTAGAGTTCATGAATTGTAGGATTTTGATCGACGTGGACCGGGAATATCGGGAATGCTCCGCATTTTTTTTTATGCATCGATCAAGTCGTTCCGTTGCGCATGCTTGGCTCAAGTCGTTCTATTTTGTACTTTCTTTCTTTGTACTTTGCACCTTGGAAGCAAAGTTCCATTCGCAGGCGTTCTTATCCGGATCTGACCCCACCTGGTAGCAAGCATTCAGTTCTCCAGGGGCCTTGGTCCCTTGGTCCTATCTTGGATACCTTGGGTGCAGCAGGTAGCCCTGCTCAGAAATCGCCTCGTGTGGAATTTCAATCGCAAAAAGGCTACTCCAGGAGTCCAAGACCGGTTCGACCTGATTAAACGTCTTCAGGTGATCCGAAAAGGAACTTCCCTTTACCTTAGTCGTTGGACATGCAGGAGCTATCGATTAATCTATTGATTTACATAAAAATGTTGGGGTTGGAATCGGACAACCCATGTTTTTGGTGTCAGCCGTCCCGGAGTTATTTCATCCAAATGCCTTGTCTCACCATTGGCTGGTACCTGTAGCAATCAGCAGCCACAAGCTGTTGGAAATCAAAGAACCAGAGTGAGACCAATCTCTCAGAGCCTGGGATTCTGAGCCAACTTTTGCTGGCTCAACAGACCTGCTCGGGCCAAGGTGTATTCTGGTGGACCTACGTGACCGTGGCTGCAGGAAAAGCTGGGCTGGTGTTTGTTGGAGAGTGATCATAAGTTATGATTGACACTGAGCAGACTCAGAGCTCAAAAACCTTTAAGGATTCCGGATTCCCTTTTATTTCCGACATCCAAGTGACGTGGCAGCCAGTCGTGTGACTTGGCAGCCACATGCCGCTCAAAGAGGGAGCCAAAAGGATACTGACCTCAGTTAGAAAGGTAAAATCCCATTGGTCGCAACTATGCTCAGATAGTTTGAGCTTTGCTCGCACAGAACCCAAAGCCTCATGGGTGCCGACTTGTGCCGAACTTCACTTCTGAAAGGTTCACTGCAGACGACTGTCGTGAGGCTCAAGTTTTTCACCTTCTCTTCACGGACAGTCAGATCAAATTGTTCCTCTCATCACCTAGTAGCGTCCTTGTTCCTATAGTAGTAAGGCCAGGAGCCCCTAGTAGCGTCCTTGTTCCTAGTAGT